GGGCCGTTCCCGAGTGCGGGGCTCAGGTGCAGCCCCCCGGGGTCCCTCCGTCCCGCCGGGGTCCCCTCCAGCCCCGGGATGTGTCGGTGGTCGCGGTGCGGGCGCCTGAGCGGAGCCTCCGCCTTGGAAAGGGGAGCTCGGGAAGCGCCTCTCCCTTCGCGGGAGCGCCGGGGAACGGGAAGCAGCCGCGCGGAGAAAGGGATGCAGAGGGGGACCCGGTGCCTCCCTTGCTGCCATCTCCCAGGGCAGCCGGAATGGGAAGCTCCAGCTCGGCTGGGAAACCCCTGCAACCAGGAGGCCAGGGGATTAGCCCCGCTCCCGCCCGAGCTGCCCCACCGCCCGCTGGGTTTGCTCTCCGGGGTGGCCAGGACAACCCTCGCTCCCCCTTCCCACCCCGCAGGGTTCCCTGAGCCCTCCTGGGGCCAGCTTGGAGCTTGGGAGCCAGGCCGGGCTCTCCCGGAGCACCAACCAGGCACATTGCAGGGACCTGCAAACGCGGCAACCAGAACACGGCTCCTGGGACAGGGCCCTGGTGAGGAACTCGAGAGGCCACAAAGCAGATTGAGCAGCCCCAAAAAGGGTTGTTTAAAACACCATCCTTTTGCCCTGCTGGGGTATCCCTTTGCATTGAGCAAAGCATCACCCGAGGGCAGAAAAGTTGGTTAATTTATGCTATCAAAAAGTAGGATCGGAGGAGTGCAGGCATCTCCAGATGCCTTGGTCTAAAAGAGCCATCACTAAAGTTAAAGCTGTCTTCTAGTTTTCATGCCCGTACCTCTTCCGCTGCTGTCAATAAGGATTTTGCTGGCTTAGGGTATGGATCTCTACGTTCAGCCAGCTGGAAGACCCCAGATGTTCCCCATCTTCCTATACCTTTATGGCAAGCTCTGCTCTTTGCAAAGATTTTATTGCGCAGGAATGAAGTTCAAAAATCAACCCACAACCAAAAGCAAGCACAGAAAGGACAAGCGTAAACCCGCAGATGCCCAAAACCATCCAGGCTGTGCCCACAGAGGCCCAAGGGAGCATCCCCAAAACTCCAAATCAGCCATGACTTCTCCTCGTGTTTAAACTTTTCTAGCTCTGACCTGACCCATGCATTAAAAAAGCCTAGGGATGTCACCGAAAGGACACATACAGATAAAAGGCAGTGCTGACGCTGTAATATCTCTGAGTTATTCCTATAGCACTCTGAGTTTAAAAGAAACATCTGTTAGCAAGGTATTTGGACCATGAATCCATCAAAATTTGTGAAATATTGCTATCCCCATTTCAAGTGTATCACACTGTGCGTTATTCTTAACATGGGAAAACAATTTCTGGAGTAGCTGCTGTGCAACTTTTTAAAGTTAAATAACATTTTCATTGAAAATATTCCAGTCTATAAACAAAGCTTATGCAAGTGCCGGTATAGCGCAGCTCTTAAAACAGACCTCTGTGCTAGAAACAAAAGCAACCGGGCGCTCTCGTCGCGGGAGAAGCAGCAAGATGTTCCTCTCCTGCCTACAGCCTGCGCTGGGGTTTTGTTTGGATCCGACGGGGTCCGTGTTTCTCATGCTTGTCCACAAGGAATGCAGTGCTGCGCTCTCCAGGACCGGCTCTGGTGAGCCAGCCTGTTCAATTCGGATCCAAAGCGACTTATGTAACGCTGGTTAACCGTGTGCCAGCTGGGGACAGAAACCCGGTGCAGAACAGCGTGGTTTAGGCTCTTGTAGGACGCAATAGTGTATATGAGTAGCTTACGGGTTACTAAGAAGTGTTAGTCATGGGGAAAGCTGTAGTATTTATTCCATAAAATGTAAATACATAACCCAAACCACAAAGGAGTAACCAAGGCTGGAAATAGTGTAGCATTTACAGAGGGAGCTGACATGCGTTTCTACAGAAGCTGTATTTCCTTAGCCCCATAGAGAGTAATTCACCTTGAACGTAGCTTCTGCTGAAGCCCGTGGAGTTACACGCACGCTGAATTCGGTCCAGGCAGGCTAAATAACCGAGTGTGTTATATATTCCAACCAAAAGAGCGAATGCCAAAATGCAGCTAAAAATACAAATGTGGAAGGTTTGAAAAGCAAACACTACTTAATTCAGTGGTAGATGCACCCTTGCGTATTTTAAAGATCCTGCAAATCAAAAATAGAGAATATTATGTCTATGCTCAACACCAGGCACACTTACCCCGGCATCACAGCTCCCATGGATGAGAGGGGACATTGCTCAGGTTCTCGCCTGCGGTTCAGTCCCAGCTGTATTTGGAGCTCTGCAGCCAGGATTTTTCCTCCTTGACCTCCTTGAAAAGCCGTCCTGGGGGCTCGGCACCGGGACAGCAAGACTGTGGCCTCCTCTTGACGCTGAACACTGGGTCACTGGGGACGTCATCCTGCAAAGAACGGGCAGACAAAGAAGTGATTCATGCCCATACAGACCTGGACTGTGACAAACGTCTTGTCCTGGTGGTGCCGCATGAAGCCCGGGAGCTGGCAGGTCCCCTGGTGCCCGTGTGCCCAGCTCTGCTTGCAGCGATTCCTGGCTGCGGAGCAGGTATTTGCTCTCGTTGGTTGCACCTTTCGCCTGTTAATCGTCAATTTGCTCAGGCAAATTCTGACAAAGTGCCAGCCCAGTGCTAATGTTCGTCCTGTTTCCAGGTTCTGCCTGCTCAGCACCTCCCAGGTCCCCATTCAGCACCTCGAGGAATCAGGCCAGCTCTGTTTCCAAGACCAGCTCTTCCCTTAACTGCAGCATTTCAGGAGATGCCTCTGGACTCAAGGCCTTTCCAAACCAGTTCTTGCATCCTGCGTTTTTTTTAGAACAGCTGCAACCTTTCGGCTCCAAAGTTTGCAAACAACCTGCCCTGTGAAAAAAAGCTCATCTCACCAGGTCTGTGCTTGAGCAGAAACAACCCTAAAATCATAAATAAATAAAGGAGTATGTTGCAGACAATGACACAAATTACAGGAGGAGATGTTCCTAAGGGTGCTAAGATCAACTCCCTCCTACCCCCTTTCCTTTCCACTGCCTAAATTTGTCCGTTAAAACAAGAGACCTGAACAAACAACTCCGAGGGATCCCTTTTTTTTCCTTCACTAAAGAGCCAGACTACAACTCGTGAGAACAAGTGCGGTTGCTTGAATGGCAAAAGGAACATTATTTTTTTACAGCTACACTGTGATTTTCATTATTCCTCTAATATCTTCAAAGCTGGCCTGTTCTACCAGCATTTTCTATATTTTCTTGAAAAAAAAAAAAAGAGAGAGAGAAATACATCCTTCTCCTGAAATACAGCATTTGGCCCACCTTGAATCTTACTTTGGCTTTATATTAAAGTACCTCTGCTGTGGAACTGGTAACACTTCTACCCTCACTATTGAGTTAACAAGAGAACCAATCTCAAGATTGCTGTTTCATTCCGAATAGGCTTTTTAGTGTATTTTTATAAAAAATACTGTGTGGGGGCATTAAAACGCAGTTATAAAAAGTCAGTCTGTGGTAATGAGATCCACGGTAGATGAGACAGTGGGATTGTTTGCTTTTTTTCCTTTTTTAAGTTTTTGAAGTTAGAATTGTTATTGTTCTGCAAATCCTTTCAAAGAGTTGGCACAGCCATGGAGGAAGAATTTTAGTTACCTTGCTCATTTGGTCACTTTTCAAAGATTCTCCTTTGACCTGGCCGTGTCTAGAAGTTTCTCATCTTACGTCTCATACATGCGTTGCCCATCTTCTCCAGGTAGAGCGCAAGGTCTCTGCTGCTGAAGGTTGTCTCTTAAGGGATGCTTTTAAAACTAGGAGGCCTGTGACTTGGGGAAGTGCTTCCGCGATGCAACTCATAAAATAAAGCTAAAGGCACCTCAATGTCCTCTTATTAAAAATCCCCCGAACTGTGTTACAACCACCTCTTTAAGCCATCTGTTGTAATATCATTTGTACATCACTTTGTTTCCTTGATCAGTGTTACAGCAGGAAAACGCATTGATGTCACACAGCTTTTGGGAAAAATGTTGCTTCTAACACATACAGAAGCAAGAGGAAATTGTAGCTGGTACTACTGAAGCCCGTTGTTGTCCTGAGCAAACACCATAAGCTATATAGCTACCTAAGATAGGCAGATGCATTGTGGATGTGTTGGGTCACGAATACTTTTTAGGAATACCTCAAGCATTGGCAGCTCCTTTAGCGTTCACACCAGTCCAGGCGCCTCCAGCGCGGATCCGTGGCTGTTCCTGCACTCAGCCCTGGCTCTGGTATTTCACGTGCTTTGCTCTTCTGCACTGCCAGACTCACCATTCCACACGAGCACGTGGCAGCACCTCCGAGTGCTGACATTCGTCTTTGTCCTTTAATTGTATCTTGAGATCTGCTATCATCAGAAGCTTTAGTGATTCCAGACACTAGAATAAGGCATAAATAAGCAGAGCAGGACAACTGCT